ATATATATATATATATAATGTTAGTCAATGCACAGGTTAAAGCCCCATGCAGGGCAAAACACAATCTCCTACATCGTATCCCCCTCTAACCCAGTGTGCAAAGTTTTTAGTTATTTCCTGGTGAAAAAATGTATACTTGCCTAACTCTGCTGTCCTGGTCCCTCGCCGGGGCTGTTTCTGGGTGTGGGGGAATACTAACCCAGCATTGCAGATGGCCCCTTGTCTGCCAGTACCCTACTGTCCCCCTGTGCTGAGAACAATCCGCTTCTGTATTCTAAGGGGTTCCCTTGCTGAACAGCCCATACGAAGTGTCCACGTGACAGGAACACCTGAAGAAGGACCCATAAATAAAGAGGAGAGAAGACTCTAGCCTGGAGTGTCACATAACTGTTCCTGTAGGTGAGTAAAAATGGGCATTTAGATTTATTTTTTTTAAATCTCGCTGTCAGTTAGTGAAGGGGGTGGAGGGAGGTTTACATTGTTTCTGAGATGGGCTTTAGAAGTATCTGCCAGTATCCATCTTCTAATCTCTGTCCCATTTCCACCCTTATGAACTGATTGCTGTGGTTGGTCAGATTGTCCACATTCACCTTCATTGCAATGCAAAGTTTAATGAACAGCAGCTAAAGGAGAAGTATTGGGAGAGTAAAATGTACTGTTACCAATACTTAGAGCCGGCATGTGACTCTGCAGGTGTCACATGCCGGCTCCATAGATCGAAAGCTGAGTGATCATGAACTGCTGATTGCCCAGCTTACGATCTTCTCCCTGTAGATAGCGGTGACTATCCATCACCGCTCCTGGCAGGGATTCCCCCTCCCCTTTCTGTTCCTCCGGAGCTCATTGGAGGGACAGAGAGGGGAGGAGGCGGGCAATGCTGGCTTTGGCTCTTGAGAGGCAGAGCCAGCTGTCACTCAGGCAGTGGAGTGGAACCTGACAGTATTGTTTAGATCGTTCCCAGCTGCAGCACGGGTCTGTGCTGGCAGAAGCCCACTAGATGCTGACTTTGGGTTACAGGAATACATTAGTTAATATACTCCTGTGACCAAAAAGAGGATTAAAGCCAAAAAACAAAAAAAAGTGTGGCCATAGTTTTCTTTTAACTTTTTCATGATTGTAGGAAAAGAGATGAATTGATAGGCTGTACATTTCTATGGAATTGCAGTGATAACCCCCTCCACCCCACCCCCACTCATCTTTTAGTAAATGTGGTAGTGCTGCTGCTTTCTGATACTCTTCACTTTCCTCCCTTCTTTTGTCCCGTTCTGTTCACATTTTCACCTTACTGGGATGTGGAATCTTGTGCAATGGAAGTTCTTATCCTCGCACTTCTCCATTTGACTGTCTGGAGCATATATAGAATTGAGCTGCGAAACGGATACTTTGTTAGTCTGACTGCAATCACTGAGCCTTCCACCCCAGCCCTTTATTATACAGTATTGTGTGGTTTTATCGCCCACTCCAGGGGAACTTCTTTTATTGTTGCTTTCAATTGGTGATTGCTTGGGTCCTATGGCTGAGCAATATATTACATTTGATAGTCTGATTGTCTTTTCGTTCTTCTTTTTTTTTTTAAAGGCAAAGTCCACCTTTTTAAAAACAAAAATAATAATAAGAACCCACATGATACTATGCTCACGCTATCATGCAATGCACCTACCGCATGTTACAGCGTGGCAAGTGCCCTGCATTACCGTTAATTTGAATGGGACCCCAATACACCTCCCAGGTGCATGCACTACTTTTTCCCATCGCAACGTATGGTATTGCAGTGCCATGCGTTGAGCCACGGTGGATTGCATTGCACCCAGGAGGTGCTTTGTGGTACCATTCAAATGAATGGTAACGCAGCACACCTGTCGCACTGTAACACACGGTAGATGCATTGCATTATAGCGTGAGCATGCTAATACGTGGTCCTTTTATTATTATTATTTTTACAGTACCAGGCGAAAAACACACCACTGCAGGGTAAATGGGGCCCTAAGTGCTCTCTTCCTATTGCATTGCATCTGCAATCAGCAGACTTTTCCAGTGTTCTTTGTCTGTCGTGGTGCAGACATTCAGCTACAGGGATGGGAGGAAGAAGGAATAGACTACAAGTGGGGTGTTGTCAAGGCTCTTGTATTCCATTGAGAACTACAAATTCCTGTGCTGCAGTGGTAGCATAGATCTGGTCCAAGGATCTGTGAATGGATGACGCAGCTGTATGGGTGAAACCCCTCACAGCCATGCCAGATTTGGAAAATAGCATATTATTATTATTATACAGGATTTATATAGCGCCAACAGTTTGCACAGCGCTTTACAATATAGGGAAGACATTCCAATCACAATACAAATCAAGACAAGATGGTAAGGAGGGCCCTGCCCCTGAGGGCTTACAATCTAAAATGGAGGGGGAAGTGGGTGTAACCGGGGGGGGGACCGGGGTGCGGGTGATATGGTTCAGGACAGATGGGGTAGAGGTCATCTGCCTGAAATGATGGCACATAGTAGTGGAATCAGCAGATAGCAGAGGAGCTAATGCTTCCCCTGCCATCTGCTGTTGTTTTTTTTTTGTATTCTGACGGCGGCAGGTGAACGCCATCAGAATACAAAAAAAAACAGGATAAAATGTTTCTCTCGCTGGCATCAGTGACTCCCTTACCATCCGGGTGAGTTGGGATGTCTGCATTATTATCCACATTTTAGAGTTTTTTTATTTATTCTATGGTAAGGTAACATTTATGGTTGTGGTTCAGCACCATTTGCAATCCCGTGTGGCTGGTCCCTGGAGTGGGCACGCTGTAGCATTTCTGCTTTGTACTGTCAGAGTGAAGTTCCAGCGTACCTGAATTCTTGGCCTATTAATCCTGATCTGAGCATAGGATTTCTCCGTATCCTTCAGCTCCAGCACTGACACCATAATACAGAGCAATTTTCTGTTAATTATAGGATTAGTTCTGTGGTATGTACCTAGCCTTAAAAACAAATTGGATATATAATGCTGTCTCGACTTCATGCAGATATTATCCTGAAACTCAAGAAAATCAACATTAACCAAGCAAGATAATGAACGTTTTATGTGTAATTGTATTGGCCGGTATATGACCTTGAGATAGTTTGCAGTGCACAAGGCTCTGTCCTTGAGCGACCTTGTATGCCGCAGTTAATGAGTAGGGACATTGTAATGCTGCCGGTCTTTTGTAGGTTCTTGTAGCTGCACACTGAACTATTGTACCCTTTACTCTGCTACTTCCCTACTTGCTCTTTCTCTTCTGACCCAGCCAACTATTGTTTAGCACTGTGACATTTCTTGTCTTTCCACTGTGTGAGCCAAATTCATTGTGAGCTCTTCACTGCCAGATCAGAACAATAAAAAAAAAAAGCCAGCGTGTGACCATTGTTGATATAGCATAGCGTATTGCTTCCACCAAGGGAGGGGAATAAACTTGCATCTTTTTATTTTTCAGTACATTGGAAGTTTGGATGTCCCACGGCCGAACAGCAGAGTGGAGATAGTGGCTGCCATGAGACGAATACGGGTACGTTTGAGTTATTTGTTGGAAAAGCCAATAGGAAATGTCCGTGTGACATGAACACCTGAAGAAGGAAAAATGGAAATGGAAAACCTCCATTTTTATTGAATAAAATACATATTTGCTAAAAGGCCATTTTAAAATGTAATGTTAAAAATATATTTCTAGTTCAGTTTACCCCAAAAAAACTAAACAACTATACCCCTTGTAGTTGTGATTTTGTAGTGCACTTCTGGTTATCCAATTGGCTAACTTTCTAAAATTTCTGGACAGAGGGTGAGAGTATGACGCTAAACTCCAGGAGTTGAACCTTAAAAATGCATTCAAGTAAGAAAAATGTATCTTATTTGTGTACCACTCGGCTGTAGATCTTCAAATCATCTCTGAATTGGTGCCGACACTCTCCTTCCTTCTGGAGGGTGGCTGCTTTTGTTCCCCATGGTTCCTGTGTGTGTTGTAGCGTAGCCACCGCTCCAAGCTCACTCCTGTGATGAACTACAATCTCACGTTTAGTTTACTAATTTGTATAGAGATTGTAGCCCATCACGGGAGCGAGCTTGGAGCTGTGGCTACTTTACAACACACACAGGGACCATGGGGAACAAAAGTAGCCACCCTCCAGAAGGAAGGACAGTGTCAGCACCATATCAGAGATGATTTGAGGATCTATAGCCGAGTGATGTACACATAAGATACATTTTTGTTAATAGTTAAGGTACTTGAATGTATTTTTATGATTTTAACTCCTGAGTTTAATACCTTCCTTTACCAAATAGGTTTTCTGGACCGAATGTCTGCCCTTGGCAAGTTACTTGTACAAGTGCAGTGTTGCTTGTAGGTCATCTGATTGTAGTAAACGCTCATAGTCCTCCATCAGCATTAAGAATTTTGAGCGAATGCATTGGAAAACATTTTCTTAATATCTGCAGAACCGAAAACGGATAAGGATCTGCAATGCAATATATGAAGTATATAGTTCCCCTTGGGATTGTTTTTGTTTGTTTTTTTTAACTCCTCATCTGAACTAGAGTTACAAGTTATCAAGTATGTGAATTATAGGCTCACATTCCAGGTATTACGATTTAAGTTGTACTTTATAAATATGCTGGAGGATCTGTTTTAGAAGGTTAGGCCATATCAATGCTTTATAAATGGGGCCCCATTTAAACTGCATCCACTAGGATGCATTGCTCAACGCAGGTCCAATGCAATGGCAAGCTGAAATTATTGTTTCACACCAGCATGCTGCGTTCATGTGTATTGGGGGAAAATGGAACGTGTTGCATTGAAAGGCACTACAACGCGTCAGAGCACTGCAGCAGGCATTAAGGAAAACAGGTATATCTGTTTTAGATGTAGAAAAAAAATGCACATCAATGCCTTAAAAAAAAAAATGCATGTCAACTCAAGTGCGCTAAACATGCGCAAACGTGCACCAAGCGCAATGCACATTGGTGTGAATCCAGCCTTAAAAAGAAATATCTTTTACATGTCACTCTACCACCACTACAGTTCAGGTTCTCGAGTGATGACCATGTACCCCAAGGGAGAACTTCTCCATTTATAACAGTTTGCTGTTTTAGAAAATAAATCATGTAGAAAATAGATATGAGAAGGCATTTTAGTTGTTTAAAGCTGAACTACAGGCAGATAAAAATGCCATTTATGCAGTTATGTCTTCACTGGCAAATCATTAGGCGTCTATTCTAAACAAGTCTCAGAGCCCTGCACACGCCAACTCTCTGAACATTTGTTCTGTGCGAATAGAGGGAAAAAGGAACGTTCTTAGTATTTCTTTCAAGTTGAATGTAATGTAATACCGCATTTTTTGCCGCTAGATGGTGCTGATGAGCATAGGAAACCCCTTTAAAACTAAGGCTAGTTTGTAGAACCGGAGAGTAGACTGCCGGAGTTGTTGTCTATAGGAACATAATTTGATTCTGTATTTTCTTTTACCTGTTTTGTTTTTATAGCTTAAAGCGGTACAACGGGCAGAGTTTTTCTTAACCCTTGCAGTGGGGCTACCCCCGCACTGCAAGGGTTAAGTGCACATTTGTGTCTAGGTGCTAAAAATAGTAAATTATACTCACCCCAACGGAGCCAGCTACTCTGGTACCTGAAGCCTGTCTCTTCTTCCGCTGCTGCCACAGTATGTCCTTCGGCGTACTCGCATCCTATAAACTGTGTATAGGATGTGAGGCTCCCTAGGCTGCTGCAGCAGAGGGGGTGAGAGGCTCAGGACCTCCTGGCTTGGAGGATCGGGTGAGTATAACTTTTATTTTTTAGCACCTAGACACAAATGAGCATTAAACCCTTGCAGGGGGGTGGGGGGATGGGTAGGGATAGCCCACTGCAAGAGTTAAGAATGCAATTCTGATTTAACACAGTAACATCCTCTAGGATAAGATGATTCTATCCCTATAAAAGTAGAAATGCTTCATAAAAATGTAAGCGGCATTCTAGTAATTACCCTAGTGCCCTAGACGCTGTGGTATCCTCCGTATATTTGCTCTGTGATACATGTTTTATATATGGCTGCTTTTCGGCTTGTTGAATAATTGATAAAAACACAACATTGATCTTGGTTTAAATTTTCCTGGAGTCTAACTTCACTGCATTTCGCCTAATCTGCCATGTACTCCGGATGAATAAGTTATGGAATAAGGTTTGGCTCATTATGTATATTTAATACTTCGAAGTAGGAAGGTTCTTGTAAAGCATGATTACGACGCTACGGTGTATCATCCTGTCCTGGCAAATTGGGATTCTGTGAGATAGATCTGTGACGTGGTGCTGCTTGCTGTTTTCTATAGATCACTGGTCCGGTTATATGCTGTCACCTAGAACCTGCTACAGATGCTAATAATTTTCAAACGGTATGCCAGGACAAGAATAAAAAAATATATTTATATTCAGTAGCATATACAGTATATTGCAGTACTTTCAAATTACCATGTTTTATTAGTACAGAACAGTACCTGCTGATCTGTCAGAAATCCTGTGTCCTAACTTCCTTGATGGGGATAAAAAAGATTTTTTTGGTGCTCTGAAATTCTACGCTGTGTTGTCGGCCCTCCCTGGGCATATTATAATGTGCACAAATCAAGAGGGCTTATGTCAGCATCCATTAATTTGCATTGGTATGGTATGTTATTCCTTACCTTTTTAAATGTGTCTTTGGTGAAGGCCTTTGTACCGATTCCAGGCTACTCTAAGCAGTTTGACCGTAAAAGTAGAGGGACAAACTGAGGGACAGACTGAGCTTCCTCATTACCACACCATTCCTCTAAATCCGTAACCCTTTGTTGGGACAGACAGTGTTCACACCTAGTTTACAACTGATAATTAAATCTGCTAGCACAGTGCAGAGAATTAGAGTAAACATAACATTGCACATCCCCCTCCTTAACCTTACATAAGGAGGAAGCTATGTAGGATTTTTAAGCAAGTACAAAGCACTTTAAAATGAAGGCAGTCATTTTATTTATTTTTTTAAGTTTTACTATGTGAATAAGAACATTCAGATATAAAATAGGTTTTGTCCTGATTTGGCTGCAAAAGTGGAAATACACTTGAATTGGGTAACAAAGCTTGAAAAAGAAAACTTGGCAGCTACATGTAGATGTAGTTACTAACCTACATTGCCTGTCCAAAAAAAGTCACCACCTGGATTTAGCTAAACGAATAGGAAAGAGCCTTCCATTAAACATCATTTTCACACATGGATTGGCCACCACAGAGTCCAGACTTTAACCTCATTGAAAATTTTTGGGATGTGCTGGAGAAGACTTTACGCAGTGGTCCGACTCTCCCATCATCACTACAAGATCTCGGGGAAAAATGAATGCAACTCTAGATGGAAATAAATGTTGTGAAATTGCATAAGCTTATCAAAATGATGCCACAGCAAATGTGTGCCGTAATCAAAGCTAAAGGCAGTCCAACAAAATATTAGGTTGTGTGAGTTGTTTTTTTTGGGGGGAGGGGGGGGGACAGGCAGTGTGTATACTGTATACAAAAGCTTCTTAATATATTAATCATTGATAAGTTTATATAAATATATATATTGTTGTAAATGTTGCATTCACCTTTTATATTTAAAAAAATATAAAAAAATTGGAAGCCTATATTTGCCTTTTAATGACTGTGAACTGTGAACAGTAGCTGGCGAGTTTTTGCTGTTGGCTGTCTGTAAGAGACAAGCCGCTGACACCATCTCTGGGGGCTGTGCTCACCACTAATCTGACATGCCGAGTATATGACAGGGCAGCTTGAAATACCATAAACCAGACATAGATAGAGGACGGATGGAATGAGGATAAATGTGCTTGAAGCAGAAAGATTACAGCACAGAATGGATACTAATCCTCCATCATTCTGTAACAGATCCCGTGGTGCTGGGGGGGAGGGTTTAAGTAGCTTCAGATGTCCTGCTTTTATCGTATAGATTATTAAATATATATGCCTTATATTTACAGAAAATGGATATTTACACTTTGATCCTTTTTAATGTCTGTCTGTTTTCACTCTATATCAATTTAATTCCAGTTTAGACTATATAAATGTGCTAAACCGGCCATGTATTAATGTGCATGTTGATAAGCAGATGAGGCTGTAAAGCTGCCCATACACTGGTAGATTCTCCAACAAGATTTCATGCAAAAAATGTAATTAGGGCGTTTGATAAAGCCACCAGAAACCTGTAAAATGTCATTTGAAATTTCATTTGATTTTAGCATTCCATTTTGGAATGAATGGAAAACCACATAATTGTTCAAATTTCATTCATTCGAGAGAGATTTTCATCCTGTTTTTTCCAATTTTTTTTTCCGCCACTACGGTTAAAATCGATCATCAATTTGCCTTACTAACCATTACAAAATGGATCAAACATTTTTCAAACAAAGTGTTACTGGTGTATAGCCATCTTAAGAAGATATAAGATAATTTGTATGTCGGGAACCTATTGGTGGTTATTGACGAAAACACAGCAACTTTTTCCATCT